AAGCTAAATCCATGAGTCACTTACCTTGGTTTGAAGATATAAGGGTTTATTCAAGAACCCTAGAAAACTTTAAGGTTGCTAGTTTAATCCTTGAGAGAAAAGAGAGAGAAAGAGAGAGAGAGCTGGAGTTAAATTTTATTTTTATGTGTTAAAATGGGTGAAGAATATCTTCTCATATTGGATATATATAGAGCTTTATTGACCACAAAAACATCCTCTAGAACCTCCTTTTTTTGGTACCATTTTCAGCCACTAATTGGTCAAGTAGTTGTTGCACCTGCTTGTGCACATCAAGCAACTCAAAAGGTCAAACTAGGTAATGCACCTAGTTGCTTTCACTTAGGCTTTATCCATATTGGGCCTTGGCAGATTTGGCTGCTGAAATTTCTTTCAAATTTTATTTTCATTTAATAGGTTTGGGCTTCAAGTGACAACCCATTAATATATAAGCCTAATTCTGGTCCATCAAACTTGGCCCTTTAGCTATATAGCTTAAGTAGATGATGCAACTGCTAGCTTAAATTAAGCCAAGGAAGCAGTTCAATTATTTTATTTCTATTTCTGAATGTTAATCTCTTGTTCTTCAACATAGCACTTAACTTTTAACCTTAAGCTCAATTACCATTGTACTATATCTACTTAAATACTTTCCGTAAGAGTTAACTTGCAATACACATGCTGAAACATTCAAGGCATTACATCACCTTCCGAGCTAGTTTAAACCAGCACTAATCATATGAGAAACATGATCCCTCACCTACACTATAAGTCTATGTCAAGTATCACATGAATAGAACTAGTATATACATAATACAGGTCGCCGCATGCACCAATTGCACTAATACATAACATTTTAAATCATTTTCATGAGGTTGAAAAGATCATTTCTTTGTGTTAAGAAATCTCAAAATCATTGAGTACTCAATTGAATAACTTTAAGACCGTTTAAATCCTTCAAGGATTTTCATATAACTTTCATCGTCTAGTTAGACGTAATAATCATTCATTATGCATATTCAAATATTTCATCTTTTGCCAGACTGAGACAAGTCTGGAGAACATATCTCCATTAAATAATGTCAGGACTTTTGTAAAAAAAAATTTATGCCACGAGGCACGAACCATACTTTATATCTTACGGTTATACTTTCGCACAATAATTCATTTGTACCCTCACTGACATATATTTTGATCTATGAACTATATGTTCAAAATCATCATTAGTCTAAGTGAAACAAAATATACTTGAATAGTGTCAATCATTTATCTGGCCACACTATATGACAGATTTGAATTTAAGATCCTCGTAACCATTTATAGCACTAAGTGATATATTATATCAAATATACCGTCGACGACCATTTTGATATCGATTTCAATACGACATTAACTTATCGAGATCTCTTCATTTTTCATCATTTTCAGGTACCTGAACCTTTGCCAAGGTTTTATGAAATGTTATGTCATAGTGATCTCCAAAGCACTTGCCTCATTAGCAATGCCTATTTTGATAATCTGCTCCTCTCTTTTATTAAGGAGTTTTACATTTGGAATCGATTGATTATCACGTTTCAAGCGTACCATAGAACTCTGTCCTTCAAGGACTATTTATTGGGGCATTTGCAGCTTAATTAACATACTAGGTCAGCAAATACATCTGGCAAACTACTTGCAACATTTTGAAAATGAATTATCTTTTGAACTTCACTTTCACTTTTGTTTTTAACGAGATTCTATATAATTCACCCACACATAATTTTCAGCTGCTACACATATCTTTCCTAGTGTTAGGAGATCTAACATTCACCCTCAACCTCATTTACGGATCCATCTTGGTGTGTGGAGCAATAAAATCATATGCGCACATCAAATTTTTATATGGAAATTATTTGGTTCCTGACCCTGAACCAATTGTATTGTTGGCTTGATGCATACATGTTAAGTAAGCTCATCTCATACCAATTTTATTTAAGAGATTTGTTCTCGAATCAATGGTCTAGCTATAATTGGAGGCACAAAATTTCGCTAAACCAACCAACATTATTAACATGACTTTACAGTTTGAAACTATACTCTTAATTTAATAATTCGAGCAAACAACCTTATAAAAATCAATTTGTAAGTTGATACAAATGCACATGTGACCATACCATAGATGCATCTATTAAATCATAATAGTAAACGATACAAATGGTAGGTGAACGGGCTCATATTCACCTTTTTATATGTTCCAAAAAAAATTTGGGGATACAATTCCAACCTTAGTTGATACAATGATTATTTTATCATGAGAACAAGCCACAAAAGAGAATACTTGAAGAATCTATTATTTCTTCAACATATAGACACGTGAATTTTTAATTTCTTTTGCATCACATTTGAATCGTAATGACCAACCAATTATGTCAATTGATATTTATTCATGTTAACTTCTAGTTTACTTTTGCATGTGATTGCATCACCATGCCCATATTTGTATACAACAAACAATGAGAAAATGGATGATCTTATACGTAAATATTTGTCACCCACTTTGATTGTAGTAATTTGAAGATATTAAATATTTTCATAATTTATAGTCTCAATATAATATTTATTTTTAATTCTTTCAAAACTTAAAAAGTTCCTTTTGAGACTTGTTACAACCCCAAAATTATGAATAATTTCATTCCTCCAAATAGTAACAAATTAGCCCTTTGGAACTATTAATTTTATGTACTACGAAAATTTTCACAACACGATCCTAATGGTGACCATCTCCTTCAAGGAGAAAATTATTACATTCAAAACTTATTTCTTAATAACCAATGACAAATTTGTGTTGGCACACAACATTTATCTTTGTCATAATCACAACCTTTACAGAAAAGATTTATTTCTTTCTGTTTTCCACTAATAGTTCATTTTAAAATATACCGCACTATTTGTGTAGAACTCAAAATATATATATATATATATATATATATATGACCAAAATTACCATTTGTGTCAAAATATATTTTTTAAGGTGAGATGTGACATTCATCCAACAATACATGAACATGTTCTTATCCATACGAACATAAGTCACATTTTCTTAAAGAAATGAACAATAATCATTTGTACATGTTTCATATGTTTTTTTATTAGAAATTCATTGTCATGTTTTGGCATCATGCGACTCACCTCAACATCACTTTAAAAGGTCAAATGTACCAAAGGTACTACCACTTTGTATTCTTTTATTTTGATGGAGGATTTAAAAAACTTTTTAAATTGGGTTGCACCTACAACAATGTGCTCAACTTCTCATACGATTTGATAGATAAAAATTACTTTTAACAATTATCTCCACATTTGAAGGACCATCTTAAGAAAGAATGTGTCAAATGATCTTTTATACAATTTTAATGGACAAAATTACCGTCACATTTGAAGGAACATCTTAAGAAACAATGTTCTTCCTTTTAATTACCACAATGATAACCATTAACATTTTATCATACTCATATTCATACATTCAACCACTTGTCATTTTTCACATATTAATACACTGCTACCACATTTACATAAGAGAATGGAGCAAATTAATTTGGTAAATTCAATGACTTCCATTCAAAAATATAAAAATTATGTCGGTCATCATTATAGCATCACTATAATGTATTAGGACTTTAACCCAATGTCTTACCCATATAAAGACACCTTCGGTCATAAATCCATGGGACTTGAGCCCAACTTCTTATTATCATAGTGCACCAAGACTTTAACTCGACGTCTTACCCACTTGATGCGGTGAAACCTGAATTCACCATCTTACCCTCAACCAATGCCTTAAAATAAATCAAATAAATTACCAAAAAAATAATTATCATAAATATAATCTGAATCTGACTTGATATACAAGAAAAATGAACAAAATCAATTAAATAAAACAACATATTAGAATCATATAAAAGTCCTAAGTTAAAATAAATCAAACATTTTAATAGTCCCTCTCAACATTGTTATGAAGATTATTATAATTTACTAACCATTTTAGAATAACTACAAAACAAGCTTTGTTAATACAAATAATATGTTAATAACTCAACAAGTAAATGTTTAGATAAAGAAAAATAAAGAGGTGCAAAAGTAATTAACAATAATAATCCAATGCATATGTCACATAACTTAATAAAACAAGATCATAAAGAACAATTTCTTTACAAATTGTTAACTTACAAAACTAGTTTTACTTTTTAAATATATAAGTGATCAAATTAAAAGTTTGCTAAAAGTAAAAACAACTTGTTGAACTCATATGATTCTGAGATGGTAAGAAAATTAATGATGCATAATCAAAAGTAAAATATAAAATAAATTATATAGCAATTTACCTTGAGAGAAAAATAAACACATATTTTTACCTTTTTTATATTTTCTTTGCTTCAATCCTTCAATAATAGAAAAATCGTGCTGATAACGTTTTGTAAAACTAAAGCAAACTAACAATATAAAGATAAAGAAAAGAAGAATATAAGACAAGAGATATAGAAGACGAAAAAACAATAGAAATAGGGAGACAAGAAGATGAGAGTTTTTCTTATTCAAATATTCACCAAACCTTCAAGTGTATACAATATGAACTCTTATGCCTCTATTTATAGTGTAACATAGAGGCATACAAAAGGTTGGTCATAAACATGACATTACGATGAATATAATGGGAAAGTGAAACTGAAATTTTACAAGATAACGGTTATAAAGATGGAGGTTATCATCATCTTCATAATGAGAAAAATAGTGAAGATAATGGGTAACTTCTTGGTGTAGTGAACATCCACACTTATACCATTTTATAACAATTTGGCAATTCTCGTTCGAATGATGAATTTAGAAAATTCAATTTATCATCATGAATTCCTGACTACGTTTATACAAATGAAGTCTAACATTGCAAATCACATGAATTTCATGACAACATTATTCGTACATGTTGATTGATGTGTATTTATGCTATATGAACTTTCACCTGAACATCAGATCCAAATGACTTCGTATTAAACATATTCCTTATTGAATTCACAGGTTCAACTCCAACAACAAAAAAGGATTTGTGTTTATTGTCTGGTTAACAACACACCATAGTCCAAAGTATTTATTCTTTAGCACCATCTATAGGGAGATGTGGACAAGGGCGAACTACAAGTTCCTTATTGAGTGGCGGAATCCAACATTTGATGGAAATGGCAACTGGAGTTCTCATTCTCACCTCATGAGGACAGCGCGATACTGGTTGTACTTAATCAAAGTTGTCAATGTGTGTGGGAGTTATATCATCAGCCACTGCAAAATGTCCAACTGTTCGAGCAAAGAACACCATTTGTTGCTCAAGAGTGTATTTTATGCTTTCTGCCTGTGGAAAATCTGGTTAGTTAGGAACTCCCAAATTTCATGCTTCAATTTGAGCACAACACTCATTTTATTGCTTTGCGCAATGACAAACCACATTAAAAAGTAGCAGTAGCATCATAAAATGTAATATCAATGTGGAGAAATGGTAGAAGTAAATACATACATGTGATGATTAGTTCTTACCTTACGAAATCCATGAGATTCTCCTTCATATTCCACGAGAGCCACAGGTAACCCCTTTTTCTTCAAGGCCTGGTAGATTTTTCGGGCCTGTTCTGGCTGGACAACCTGTAAGCAAATGTTTCTATTTTCCTTACAAGGAGCTTCTAATTGTATAGTTGTTCGATGCAAGATACTAGTTTTTCATCGCAAAAGGAAAGCTGAAAATCTTTGGGCTCCATTGAGATCAAAATTGAATAATACGGTTCAATTTCCTTTCTTAAAAAGCGTTTAGTTAAATAAGAATGTTACTTACTCAACAACAGCAGTTTCCTGCCATTAATAATGCAGAGTAAAACGGAAAAAAAAAGAAGCACAAGTTGTAGCAGTTTACCGTGTCTTCTAATCCTTGGAACACTATTATGGGGCAAGAGAATCGATCAACAAAGTTGATAGGAGACCGCTCATTTAAAGCGATTTCATTACCTGTATTAAGAACAACAATGTTAAATTGTGACCAAAAATAGATGTAACTCTTTAGTTGTGAATAAATAATTACCAGCAAGATTAATGATATAGTGGGATTCAAATTTGTGCATATGATCACTCAATGACTTCAAATCAGCAATCTGTTAAAACAGCAGAAAGTGTGTCAGCTCGTGACTGAGTTCCACCAGAACCATGTTTTCGAAACCACTCACCCCCTCCCCCAGTCCAATAGTGCAATAGAGCATAGGAGGTAAAAGTTTGTGACAAGAGATCTGATAAGCTGAGCATAATGTAAACAGTGTACTCAAATAAACTTTTCAGCATATCAGATGCAGACATAGAACAACAACATATCTAGTAAGGTCCCAAAAGCGGAGTCTGGGGAGGGTAGATTGTATATAGACCTTACCACCAGTGTTCTTAATGGCGCTCGCCATTCGCCAAAGGCGCTATGGCGAGGCGAGGCGACCATGCAACGCCATTCCTCAGTGAGGCGTGACGAGATCAATTAGGCGATGTGAGGCGACGTGAGGCGACCTGATTGGCGACGCCTTTTATTTTAAAATATTTAAAAAGGTCTTGACTTAATAATATTAGTCAAAATTAAGGTTTTTTCATATTTCCAGTCAATCATGACTCGCGTTTCTTCTCCTCAACCCTGCGATCTCTTCTTCTCCTTCAGTGGACTCGCGCGAAAGGTATGTCCCCTTTTCTTTCTTCTTCTCTTCATTTCCTCGTTTCTTCTCTTCAGTCCTCTTCTTCTCTTATTTTTTTATTTTCTTCTGTTCAATTTCTTGTGAAGTGAATCTTAAATTCTAAAATCTGAAGTTCTGAAGTGCTTGCTGTCTTCACTCTTCACTGCTCGCTGCCTTCACTACTCTTTTTTTTCCTCTCTTTTCTTCACTGCTCTGTTTTTTCCCTCTGTTTTCTTTGTTTACTGTGAAATGTTGCTGACTGCTTACTGCTTTCACTGTGTTGTCCATTATTTTTTTGAAAAAAATTAATTCTTCTATAGTAATTATTATAGTATTTGCTAATATATGTTATTGCTATTGAAATTTGAATATTTATATGTGCAATTAAATATTTTTAATTTTTGGTGCGCCTCGATTCAAAAAGGCGAGCGGCGAGCGTGGCGAGGCAGGCCCTTGTCGCCTCTCGCCGTCCAAAACACTGCTTACCACTACCTCGTGGAGGTAGAGAGGCTGTTCCATAAGACCCTTGGCTCAAATGTAACAAATTTAAGTACAGAGAAGAAGAAAACAGTGCAGAAATCATAGAAACTAAACAGTGCATGGCCTACAATAAAGGACATAGAGAATCAAGTAGATGCAATTCAATTAAGCCAGTTATTCCCAAGGAAAACAAACATTAGTAAATGAGATTAACCATGACTTAAACTTCAAATTATGCCATCTCATTTTCCTTTTCCCATTTTATCCTCTACATACGAGCACATGATGGTTCATGGAGTTCATAGGGTAAGGTTTACTAAACATTTTATTCGGCTAGTCATACCATAATAACAACCATGCCCTCCTTAATACTAGATTGATGTTGCATATTGACTTACTCCAAATAAAGAAGCGCCAGCTCTGAATGTATCTCTGAAAGCAAGAGAGGCTAATGTTGTGTAACCGCCAGCAGAACACCCAGTTATGCAAAGGCGCTTTCCATCAACCTTCCCCTCATCCACCTTAATCAACAAATCTTCCTAGTTAAAACCTCTAATGTAAAGAAATGAGAAAACTAACAATTAAGGGTTAGTGACAATTTTATTAAACTTACCAAATATTTAGCACAAGAGCAACAATCATTGATGTCAACGATTCCCCACTTTCCCAAAAGGCGTTCTCGGTATGCCCTACCATAACCTTGAATTCAAATATACGAAGACTTAGCTATCTTATAGAGAGAGAGACAAGTAAACTTTCAAATATTAATGGAGTGTAATGTAACCAAACTTAATGGACTGAAATATAACATAAATTTGGAAATTTTGTATGCAGTAAATAAGATACAGCAGAATTGGATAACTATAAACAATAAATGAAAAGTTTGTCCGGATCCAAGAATTATAGAAGTTAATAAAATAAATTGCTCAAACTCTGATAACATACCCGTACTTCCTCCATAGTTGACATCCACAAATGCCCATCCTCGACTAGTCCAATATTGGATGCTAAGATTTAAGGTTCCACGTGCCTCGTCTGTTGGCCCTCCTGTTTACACACATGAGCAACAGTTCAAAACCGGTTAACCTTGCGCATACTCGGAATGAATAGACGATTAATGAAGCAGTTAGCATAGCATCTTTGGAAGTTTCAATCTCTCTGTTATTGTTGGCTAATATTCCTAGCTCGAACCAAACAATAGATATTATGAAAGCAAACCACTGAATTGCATTTTAATAATCTAGAATCACACTGTATTCGAGCTCAATTGAGGAAGTGCTGTAAGGTGTAAGTACGCTCTATCATATGATAATTACGAACAGCAAGTGGCTACATAATTTCCACATTATAATGATCAAAGTACAAGCTAGAAGTAAACGTGGTTATTATTTTAAACAGATTTTCATATTGATACGGAATTTTATATATAAATGAATCATATGCACATTTAGAATCTGGAAACTACCAACAAAGCTAATAGAGAAATGAAGTGATCTTGCCATTGAGATGATAAAATCAGTCCCAACATGAAGCAACATAATGGTTGATAAGGATAAAAAAGTAAACAGAATTATTTCTGAACTAGGACACACAGAAAAGACACACACTTATCTTGATAGCCCTGTATTCACAGTACATGTGTGTATCTAAATGAGCATGTATGCAATGCACGCGCTCTCAATGGTTAGTAGACTTGTAGAAATGTCAGCCTTTGGAATATTTTCAGCCAGAAGACAGCTGAGAAGACGACAAGCACTTCCCTTTACACTAAGCCACAAACCATTGAAAAAGAGAGACTTTTCAGTACGAAAAGAGGAAAAAAACATTGTATTTCCTTTCATTGACAGCTCCATTCATGACTCTTATTTTTGAAGATGTGAAACTGGCCAACAGCATTGCCATGTAACAATCTTTTTATGTACAGTGCCTAGTACCTTAATTTTTCAGCACTACAATCAATGTCATGGAAAACTAAATTAGCACTAGGTGCATAATGAATATGACTAAGGAATTACAAATAATATACCATGGCTTTCTAGCAACAGTGGAGGTTTTTCTTCTTGACTACCATTATATTCTGGATTACATGGAGGATAGAAGTATGCATAGGCATTTTGACCAGCCACATCTGTTGGAAATTCAATAAACTCTGGGTGGCTGAAATATGGTATGTACTTGTCAATGTCTGAAGAAGATGACCACATGATACTGAAATCTACAACATTTGACATATGATCATCTAGTATCACCTGTTGCAAAGCGTGGAACTCATTAAGACAAACTGTGGAAATTAGTTATTTGAAAAAGACACCGCTACAGAAAAGAAGAAGAGATAACCTTTGCTAAAGAAGTAGGAAGAACAGAAGATGCACCCTCAATGTAAAGGATCTGTCCACTTGCGACCTAAACAACATTTCAGGCAGATAGTTACACTTTCTGAATGTTGCACCAATAAGACAATCAACAATATAAGCTGCAACTTACAATATTTGATATGTAAGTGAATGGAATATCAACTGAACAGAAAGAGTTCTTAGCTTGATTTATAACACCAAGATATGACTTTCCATGTTGCCTGCAAGCCATCATGGATGAAAGCGATTTTATTAGACATGTAAACTTAACTCGAAGAGAGGCCGGGGAAATAATGAAACGAACTGTGATGCTATTGCAGTGGAGAGAGAGAGAGAGAGAGACCTGTAGCTGCACGCAATAATTGTTGATTCCTCTTTCCGCTCAATGATGTCATAACATCGATTTCCAAAAACCCAAAATGGTCTTGTGAACTCAGCGTTCAAAGAGTAAATTGCAAGGACCTCATTTTGATCTTCAACCTGATGTAGAAGTAATAAAATATAGATGAACTATCAACCAAAACCAAGAAGTAAAGAATTCACAGAACTCTTGAGGTGTAGTGTATTTACCCATTTGTATATGTTCCAAAACCCTGTATTTCTGTCTGTTATGAAAAACAATTCCCCTGCAATAATTAAAGGAGGCTGCTTCAGATAATCAAAGTCATATTGAAGGTGGCAGTTATTCTGCTTTTGAGAATGAGGAGTGAACAGCAGAATATAAGAACTTATCCTGCCTTTGGACGACCATAGAGGCTCAGTTGGCGATTCCACCAGAGTAGGACAGCCACCAGCAACTACTACTCGCTTCTCGATGTCTCTACGTAAGTTAATTAAACCAATTGTTAACAACCTATAGCAAAAATGGATTCAATGTGCATGAAAACAAAAGGAGGGAGAACATCTATCTACCAATGTGGACAACGTTGTCATTATCTCTAATAAAGAGTGGATGTAAGACGACTTCCTTTAATCAGTAGAGAGAATGTAAGAAGACTTACTCACCCGCTCTCAGATATATACCCAACCCAAAGCTCTGATTTATCCCAATGCATGTTAGGGTGGCTCCATTCTATCCAGGCCAAACGTTCCCCTTTCACGTCCACCCGTGGGAATGCATAGAATTCATTCCCACTAATCAAGACTTTTGGTTCTGAAATGCATAAATTAAAGCAGAAGCAAAAATTCATTCGCATTCTCCATTTTAACATAATAGATCAATTGATTCACAATTACCTCAAAGCCTTTTCAACTTACAATTTACATACCTTCAGTGGTGTTATCATTAAGAGTAACACTCACAATCTCATTAGTTGGCTTTGCATCAACCCCTCGATGATCTATTTATAGATAGAAAAAACCAAGAATATACAGTTACAGCGACCAAGACTGTAGAGAAAATATCCTTTCCAGAAATTATTTAAACAAAAAATGTTGTGATTATAAGTAAAGATGTATGTACCTTCTCTTACAGCAATATAGCGGTTTAAACGACTATCAAAGACCCCATCAGCATATCTTACATGAGGTCCCACATAATCTGGAGTTATGGGCACTGGACCTAAATCTATAATTAACAAATTATCAATTCAATCTGCCCTATCACTTAACTTCTATGAAATTTAATAGACTTGCTACTTCATCACTTCAGTTCATCACGGTATTTTTCTTTTTCTATTGCTTATTTGAAATGTTGGGCCAGGAATTTAGGGTTTTGGGGGGAATTGAACTGCTGGGTATGGATAGAGTAGAGAATAGGAATTTCAAACAAGAACTTCTATATTGTTATGGGATTGTTGCGTCCTGCTTCTTCGAATAATAATTTCCAACAACTTCAGTAATTGTTGGAACAAATCAATAATTGTTTAATTTTTTCTGTCATGTGTATGTAGACAAATGAGCCATACACGTGAAAAAAAGAACTAGGACATCTTCAGCTCCTTCTAGAAAAAGAGCTTGCTGACCAGGCAAACAAAGATGAGGTTGCAGTTCAGGCTCAGGTAACCGAAGAAACAACAACTTAGGAGTCGGAAAATAGTGAGGTGCCAGCTGGAGAAGAAGAAAGACATGCTATTATTTGTAAAATCCAACTGGACAACAAGAACGAACTGAGAGAGAAGTAGTTGATACATCAATTGAGGATTTGACGATGATCACCGAAAGAAGAAGCAACAGATCAAATGATGATGAGGATGCCCGGTCATTTATAGGGATTGACATCCATTATTCAATTAGTAAAGACAATGATCTCGAAAGTCTTTTGGTTTCTGAAACTGTCAAGAGCATTGACATTAAAAAGTGTGGTAGAAGAATATGTTGCTGCTTCTTAGCTTGATCAACACCCTATTATTGTAACACTAAAGAGCATTTTACTCATCACACAATATAGGCTTTGGCATTTAAAGCTATTCCACCAATTTGATGAATGACGAAGGATGCTTCAACTGAGATGTCATTGACAAAGACAATTAAATAGCTAGCTATTTGCGAATCCCATTTTTCCAGGGGAATAAAATGCATCAATATTTAACCCTAAAATAGCTTTTTCTCTTTTCTTAGCTACTACACTAATACTGTTCCACTGAAAAACTTAATAGCACTTCGACTCCATTCTGCATAATCAATTTAATATTACTAAAATTTATTAATGGATAGCTAACCTGAAGAGGTGAGGATCTGTTTGTACAATCTCTGGTCATCAAAATTGGAGAAAACAAGTACATCTCCAGAAACCCCAAAAGACCCACCACCATATTCATGAACAGTGTTTCGAACATTGAAGTTTTTAGGTGTAATATCTTCCCCTGATTGTTTAACAAGCACAGCTCGTCCAGACTCAGCAGGGCGAGTCTCCAGCCATATTAAGTGGCCATGAGAGTCTACAGTGAAGCCTTCAAGGCGTTTATCAGAACCCGAGACGATATCTGCAGTGATAGGTGACTTCCATGATCCATATGGAGCCCTATTTTTTTCAGCAGTAGCCATAGTATCTATCTTCAATCATCTAAGGTTAAATGTGTAGTGAAAGTGAGTATATGGGAGCTCAAACGGGGAAACAAATCTGAATGGTCAACGTGGCTTTGATATAGAAGAAGAAATAGTTAAAGGTGACAAAAAATTGAGTGAGAACCACCTAACTACAAAGTTGGATTACCTTTTTAATTTCTTTATTAAATTAAAATATTATAAAATATTTATATTAATTAATTATTAACTATTAATTCAATATAAAAATTAATTTTTTTTATCATTAGTTATGAGTTAAATCACCTCTAACATGTTTCTTAATCATTTTTAATTTTCTAAGCATCGAAATTAGTTTTATAAACTATTTGTTGTGGAAATATATATATAAAAAAAAAACATGTTGTACTAAGTATAAAATACATTAGAACTACATAAGAAAAATATCATATATACCAATTCAATATTTTAATTACTCTATACTACTTGCAAGTTTTAGTAGCATCTATATCATTTAAATTTTTTTGTACTAATTAACACAGAACACACGTGCAATACATGTGTCTAGAAGCTAATTATAAAAATGAGAAGCTCCAATATGTAAAGTCAAACTATATAAATGTCATTAAATATCTAATTATTTAAATACTAAGTAATAATTTACTAAATACTAAAAATAAGAAGGTGTAAAGTCAAACTTTGAAATACAAAAATATTTCGTAGAAAAATTATTTCATAGAAAGTTGTTAGGAATTACTCTTTTTTTTTTAATAAATATGCTTTATCTAATTCTTTTAAGAACAGTAATGTTTAAATGAATTAAATTTGTTAGTTAGATAAAGCGTTTTTATATTTACAAAAAACTCAAAGTCTAAAACTTAAGGGATTAAAACTCCTGACTCTTTATTTTAAATTTCAATTTATAATGACCAGCTTTTTGGCCTTCAGGGACATTTAGTGAAGTAAGTTGTGCCTCGCCAACCAAGTCGGGGATCCGCCCTTCGCTCCCATTCTTCGCTAATTTACATTGGCTATCAATTCTTAGAGTTCTGTAAATTTAGGCAATCAAAGTTGTGATCGCAGAGTTGTTCGGCGATCCGCCAACAGTCAATTCTTGTCACCAAGTTTTTTCTTCCCAAGGGTTGGCATGCTCGAACATTGGACGAGCTAAAAAACACTCAGGGGTTCGCCGAGTAGTCTTGAAGATCACCAGGATTTTCTTCCTTCAACTTCTTCCGCTTTTCTATACGAAAGTGTCATGTAGGTCGAAAAGGAGTAGAAAATTATTTATAAAATAAGTTCAGGGGGTAATAGGACCTTAGTATAGTATAAGTGTGTCTCTGAGATTTCGGGCATAGATTGGGGGAGGGGGTACTTGTGCATTTTCTCATATTATAAAGGGATAATGCACAAGTACCCCCTCTGTGCCCGAAATCTCAGAGACACACTTATACTATACGAAGATCCTATTACCCTGTGAACTTATTTTATTAATAATTTTCTACCCCTTTTTGGTCTACGTGACACTATCATGTAGGCCCAACGCTGGTTGATTTTTTTTAAAGCTAGTGTCACGTAGGCCGAAAAAGGATAGAAAATTACTTATAAAATAAGTTCAGGGGGTAATAAGACCTTATAATAGTATAAATGTGTCTCTGAAATTTCGGACATAGGTTAAGGGGGAACTTGTCCATTTTCCATATTATAAAGATAACTTTAATAATAAAATTTCTTTTACATTGATAAACTTAAAATGAAGTTTTACTTTTAAGCTAAACAAGATAATGTTTAATTTTTAAGTTAAATGAGATGAAAGTTTAATTTTTAAGATAAATAAGATGAAAGTTTAGTTTTTAAGCTAAATAAGACGAAAGTTTATTTTTAAAGATAAATAAGATGAAAATTTTATTTTTAAGTTAAATAAGATGGAAGTTTTAATTTTAAGTTAAATAAGATGAAAGTTTAATTTTAAAAACACACGGTACAATTATGAAAATACATATTTAAACTAAATAACATGAAAGTTTGACTTTTGAGAATTAGTAAATAAAGTTTATAAAGAAAATGTAAAAAAAAAAAAACTAAGTAAGGTGGAGGGTACTTTTGTAAACAAACAACTTATTATAAAAAATTATGCAGTTGAGTTAAGTTTGAATATGATAAACCAAACAAGCAATAAAAACTACTCCCAACATAAGTAATCTAGTATAACTTATCCCAGCAATAATGACCACCATCTTAGTCATTTATTATAGTTGATTCGGAGAAGGCCTAAAATGTCTTTAAAGTATTGAAAATGATACAAAATTACCCTCAATCCACCTATTAGTTTCAAAATGTCCTTCTCATCCACATATTGGCTCCAAAGTACCATTTCATGTATGTTTGGGTTCAAAATTGCCCAATTATTTAATGATTTTTAAAATTTAAACCATTTAAATATTTTTTTAAATACTTGGCGCTCAACTATTGGTTATAATTTAATTTATTAGTATTGTTTATAAACCAATCCACTACCCACCTAATTAATAAACCATTCTAATATTATAATAGCGCAAAACACTACTAAAATACGACGGAATTACAGATCCTGAAAATGACATCCAAAATTATTCAAATCTGAATTGAAGCCCCAATTAAATTTAGGTTGAGCCGTTTATTTAGGAGGAAACTTCAATAGGGTTCTCTTTCAAGCTTGAATTCGAGATTTATGATTAAAGGTAAAGAAGTAGTACATCCCAAAATTAATTCATGCAATTTTTTAAATATAATTTTTAATATTTATGATTTGTTATAAATATTAAAACTTTAATATATTATTTTTTAAAAAAGTTATGTATTGAGTACCATGACATTATTGAGACAAAAGAATAATTAAGACGAACATAGTCAGACTTTTAAGTATATCGGTAATTTTTATTTAGACACTTGAATTATAATATGTTTTGATTGAGGACTTGAATGTATGATAATATACTTCTATAGACATTTTCGCCTCAAATTTTAGACACACTCACTGACAGTAGATGTTGCATTAGTAATGGGGTGAGTTTATTAACTGGGTGAGTTTAATTAGTAATGGGTGGGTTGTGGATTGATTTATAAATTATATTAATAAGTTAAATTATAACAAATATTTGAGCGCCACGTATTTAAAAAAATATTCAAATAGTTTAAATTTAAAGTCGTTAAATAAGTGGTCAATTTTAAAATCAAAGGTGGATGACAAGGATATTTTGGAGCCAATAGGTGAATAAAAAGGATATTTTGAAGTCAATAGGTGGATGAAGGATAATTTTGTACCATTTCTAATACTTTAAAGATATTTTAGACCATTTTTGTAACAACCTGTTTAGTCATTCGAGCACTAGAATCTTTTGTGATAAAAACTAACTGGGTCGACGTATCACGCGACGGACCGTCATGGTCACGACGGACCGTCATGGACTCCGTCGTTCCATACTTGTGTAATTTCTTCTGCTGCTCTCCTCATTACCCTCGACGGCAGGTAGGACGAACCGTCACCAGCACGACGGTCCGTCGAGCGTCGTCGTTCCAAAACACTTCAACTCTGAAATCTGGGTACTGGATCGACTCTCTGAACTTCGTGACGGAACTGCAGGACGTACCGTCATAGATACGACGGACCGTCACAAGTTGCATAACCTCACTATTGAATTTAACTCTCTGAACTTTGTGACGGAACTGTAGGACGGACCGTCGCCGATATGACGGGTCATCACAAGTTGCGTAACCCCAACTGGGTCGGATTACTACTAAAAGTTTTAAAGGGGTGTTTTGGACTATTCATGATTATAATTATGGAATTAGTGGGGTGAGTTTAATAATTTATTTACATGGGGGTTAAAGAAGATACTAAGGAAATAAATAGTGGGTTACTTTTATCATAACGGATTATATGATAATTAGGGTAAAAGAAAAAGAATTTGCAGAAGGAAAATAAAAAAAGAACAGGAAGAGGGGAGAACGAGCGAGAGAGAGAGAGAACGAAGAGGAAAGCAAAGGCATTGTGAAGTAGCTTGCTTGATCACGATTCTTCGGTGGAGGTAGATTATGATTTATTTCTATGTGATAGATAAACTCTAAATAGAGATCGATATGTATCGGGTGGTATTGTAAAGTCTTCTATATGCTTGATTGTGTGTTTGTATGTTGTGATTATGTAATTTTGGTGGTCAGAATGATGAGGCTGTTGAATCTTCAATCTTAAATCCTCTCTATTAAGATGACGCCTTGACATAAAGAAGGCTTGATGAACTAAAATAATGAGATAAATGGATCGGAGTGTCACGTTCCGACACGGTAGTATTAGGGGATCGGAGTGTCACATTCCAACACGGTAGCATTAGGGGATCGTAGTGTCACGTTCCAACACGGTAGCATTAGGGGATCGGAGTGTCACGCTCCGACACGATAGTATTAGGGGATCGAAGTGTCACGTTCCAACACGGTAGCATTAGGGGATCGGAGTATCATGTTCCGACACGGTAGTATTAGGGGATCGAAGTGTCACGTTCCGACACGATAATGATAAAGAGTGAATTATGTTAATATACTCAAATTCGAAGAACCTATTTCCCAAATGAGTGTGGTGTGGGGGCTTGAGTCCCCTTAGGTGTGCTTGGTGTTGTTGCCAATGGTTTTTATAGTTGTTGATTGTCACCTGTTAAGTATTGTGGTTGATTTTATATTATTATTTAGCATATATTATTTTCTATTTCGAGTTGGCCGATGTTACCTACTCAGTACGTGTTCCTTGTACTGACCCCTACTTGTGTTTTCTTCTTTGGTATTTGTGGAGTGCAACAAACGTGTCATCGACTTCGACTCGTCATCAGTTCTAGCCAGTCTTCAGCATATCAGAGTTCAGGGTGAGCTATTATTCCTAGCTCGTACTGGATTATCTCCTTTACGTCTTGATATCTTGAAGTTCGGACATAGACCATCTTTTTACTATTTTTATCTTCTTAAATACTCTTAGATTTAGAAATTTGAGGATACATGTTCTTGGTGTGATGACTTCCAGATTTTGGGAATAATAAGTATTTAACTTTAGAAGTTGATTTAATTGATTTCGTTAATAAGTTTTAGATCTTCCGCATTATTTTTTTACTATTCA